AAGCCGTCAGATCTCCCACGAGCTCCCTCCGCGAGCCTACCGGCGCTGGCCTTAGAGGGTGGATTCCGTCCCGTTAAAGCGAGAGTCTCTTAACACTAGGAAAAAAAAAGTCTGCAAGTCCAGGGGCCAGCCCAGGCTGCCGGCAACCTGCTACGTATCTTCCAAGGCAAGATCCCGCCCTCTTCTCCTGACGCAGCCCCAACCGCGGGCACCCTCGCCTTCCTCTCCTACTCCACCCGCCACACCCCGTCCCACGCACCGGGCCTGGCCCCGCCCCACCGTCCGCGCCCCCTCGCCGAAAACACCGGCGGAAGGGTCAGGCGTGCTCATCCGCGGCGCCCAGCCCCCGGATTCAGTTCCTTGTTGCCACCGCGAGCCGTCTCCCCTGTGAATGTCCCAATGGAGCCCGAGAGGGGACGTCACCCCCAAGAGAAACCAGCGTCGCCCAAAAGGACGCAGGGCCTTCTCTCCAGCCATGGTCTCCCTGTTCTCCCCGCTCTCCGATCTTCTTCTAGTGCGTTCGTTACCCAAGTAACTCTCGTGAATTCCTTAGCGCTGCTGCGCGCGCGCGCGCGGGAGCTGAGGTCAGTCCGGCAGGCTGGCACCAGAGGGGCGGCGCTGCGTGGGACCCCGTGTCCAGCGCATCCAACCTCTCCCACGGCGTCTGCGCCCTTGATGCGCACAGACGCCCCGCGGCCCACGCGCACAGGGACACCTGCGCCTGGGAGGTAGCGCCCCAGGCCCTGACCACCCTATGGAAATTCCTAAACGTTGGTCCCTGGGAGTTGGTGCTTTCTACGGGAAGTCTGATGGAGTACGGGGGCGTGTCTGGACATCCGCAGCCGCACGTCCCGCGTGACGCTGCCGGCCCCGCCCCCTCCCTCCCCAGGAAAGCGTCTTGGCTCCCCACCCCCTGGCACCCTGGCACCCCAGGGCTCACGCAGCTCCTCCCTGTGCAGGCCCAGCCCCAAATCCCTGTCACCTTCTGCCCCCGCAGGGACCTGGGCGTGGGTGCACGGGAGGGGGGTGGGGATTGAGAATGCATGCCCCGAACGTCCCGCAATTCAGTGGGGCTGTCCCCGCGCCATGCTGCCGGGTGGCCAGCCAGAGCCCACAGGTGCACAGGGACAACCCTGTCAGCCACCCTTCGATGCGGGTACCCAGAGGCATCCAGTGAGGACGCCGCAGGGCACCGGGCTTGCCTGGGTGCTACGGGCCGAGCAGCGGGAATGGCCACACTGCCCAGGGCTCTTCCAGGACAAAGGGCAACGCCATCAGTGCGGCTGCGGGCAGAGCAGGCACCAGGTGCGAGTCCTGCCTGAGCAAGAGCATGCGCTTTCCAGGCCCCGGGTCCCCACAGAGAGGTGCCTCCACGCGTCCTGCCTGCAAGACCCCCTCTCGGGCACCCGCTGGACACGCCCCACACTGGGCCCTTTGGGGGACGGTCCTCTCTTCCTCCTTCCCACCCTGCTGAGCCTGGCGTCTGCTGGTCCTTCCAGCCACCGCAGGGATGCCCCCCCGCCTGCCCCAGGGAAGAGCCAGGAAGTGCACGCCATGCAGAGCAGGTGCTACAGCTGCGTGCAGGTGAGGGTGCCGATGGGGACGCGCAACCCAGGCACGGCACAGCTGCAGGGGACCGGTACGATCCCACCAACGACACAGGCAGGCAGGCAGGCCTGCGGGCCATTAGCCCACTGACCCATCAAACCCTAAACAGCAGCACCAACCCCCAGCCGGCAGCTGCCCTCCGTGGAAACCTGTCTACTCGGTGCCCTGGGTGACCAGCCCGCCTCCTCAGCACCTGGTTCCCTTGTCAGCGACCGCAGGACACAAACGGACCTGCCTCCTTCATTTGTGGGCGGCACTGAGACACTGCGAGTGACCCCCAGAGCAGCGGCTGGTCCTGAGGCACCTTCCTGTTGGTGTCAGCACTGTGTCACCCCCACTCCCGAGTCCCCAAGACATTCAGGATCTGTGGGCAGCCATGGGCTGGCACTGGACCCAGGAGGGGCTGGCTGGTCAGGAAGGCGACCTGCCTGCCCAGGCCACCCCTCTGCCAGGGGCAGAGGCTGACGCAGAGCGCCTGCCCGGCCCCACCCCCACCCCCCGTCCCTGCTGCACACCCCCAGCGCAGACCACGGCCTCACTGCCTCATGCAGCAGGTCCTCCCCGCCCCGTCCGCTGCAGCATTGCAACCACACGCGTGCATGCTGTGTGTGAACCTCCCACAGCGGCCTGCCCCGGGGCCTGGGCTCAGCATCCCGGGTGGGGCACTGACGGCCTGCGAGGTGCCACCGTGTCCTCTTTCTGTTTGCCCGGGGCGGGAGCCAGGGTGTCCAGAAGCCGTGTCCCTCTTGGTGTGAAATTCCAAGCACCCTCCGGCCCAGGGGCTGTGCCCAACAGTCCAGGGATATGCCGCCACTGTTCCCAGCAGCACGCACGGGTCTGAGTCCCCTGTGCTTTCGGGCGTAGCTGACAGCCCCCCTGCTTGACGGGGGAAGCCAGCCCAGCTCTGTGGACAGGAAGGCACCAGGTGTGCCCCCTCTGCCTACAGGCCTGTAGCTGCTGCAGGAGCTGGCGGTGGGCCCGCAAGCTCAGCAAACCCCCGTGCTGCCCGAGTCTCTCCGAGGCACGCATGTGCAGGCCGCGTCCTCCCCAGCCTGGGCCCTGGCAGCTGCCCCGCAGGGGTGCGCACCCTCGGCTGGCCCCACGGCTGCAGGCCAGTCGGCTCCCATCCTTAAGACGCCAGAGGAGATGGAGACAGGCAGCTGCTCCAGAAACAGCCTGGGCTTGGGCTGCGCTGCCTTAGTGAGCCCGGGTGGGGTGACCCCGCCTTCTAGCGGGGTCTCCCCAAAGCTCGTCCTGCAGCCCACTGATACACACCACCGAGATGCCCCCCCCACCTTCGCCGGTCCTCCCAATGACTTAAAAAAGGGGGGCGAGGGAAAGGAAAGCTCGCTGATGAGCCTGCAGGCTGCTGTCTTTTCAGATCTCAGGGAAGCCTCCATCCCTGCCCTTTGGATGCGCGGGAGAGGCATTGCAAGGCAGGCCTACACCCCGAGGAGCGGCCCTGCCGCCACTGATGGCGAGAGCCGCAGTGATTGAGTCCTGGCTGGAGTAATTTGCAGCTTCCCTGGCCCCAGCTAATTAAAATGTAATCAGGATTGTCTGCAGCGCGCACTCTGTCAGCAGTTTTTCTTCCGCGGGGAAGTCGTGCCAACCGAGCAACAAGAAAAGCCTTTCACGGGAGTTGGCTGCGTGCGAGCTGCGGCTTCAGCTGCCGAAACTGTAGCACAAATACATCACAGCCACTGACACTTCAGTGAAAAGACGACCGGGAGAGAGAGAAAGAGATACTCTTTCTCCCCAGGAACGGGCCGCCCAGGCGGCTGTGTTCTCTGGGGTTGAAACAGTGTAGCATCTTCTCAGGATGGGGGGCCCCCGCGGGGCGGCGGGGCAGGGCGAGCGGCGAGGAGGCCAAGGTGGCTGGGCGGGCGCCCCCTCCAGGCCGCCCGCGGAATGTCACCGCGGGAGAGGAGCCCTGCGTTTCCCCCTCCGCCAAGACCCAGGAGGATCCAAGCGCTGCCAACTTCGACACCGCTGCACACTGCTTCTTTGAGAACAAACAGAACCGCGCGCTCAGGCAAACTTCGGCGGCTGCTTCAACCTCCTGAAACCCCAGGGTGACACGCCCACGCCCGCCCCCCACCCCCTGGAGATTTGTCCCAGACTCCACAGTCAGGACGCTGGCGTCCTCTCCCGCAGCTGCTGCGTTCCCAGGACCCTTGGGAGGCGCCCTCTCCCCAGTCCAGCGTATTTAAGGGCAGAGGACTCCTCTCGGAACCCCCGAAGGAGGACACCCCCACCCCGTCTCCTTCTGGCCTCTGCAGTGCCCCCTGCGGCGACAGGTTGGGGGGGTCTCACAACAGGTGAGCTGCGAAGGGCGTTGGCGAGGTCAGGGAGAGAAGCAAGGCGGAGGAGAGAAGTCAGGCGCCGGCGAGGAGGATTTCAGAGTGAGCGCGCTCCGCTCCGCTGCCGAGCCCCAGAGCGGCTCCCCGCCCCGCCCGGGGTCCCTACTCAGGTCCAGGGAGGGGGGGTCTCCGCCACTACGGACCCCTCCATCCACAGGCGCCAAACACGCTTTCCCCTGAACCCCCTACACACGCCCTCGCCCACACACGCGCGCGGAGTCGGGCTCAGGCTATGGGGGCTGGGCTGATGCTGACCCCAGAACTGTTCTCGGAGCATCCAAACACGACCCCTCGGGTCCCGTACCCGCTCCATCTCTTCCTTTCCCCTCCACGCTGTTCGCTGGCAAGACCCTGACGCTGGGGAGCTCTCGGAACTGGGGCGCGCGCAGCCACCACCGCGCCCTGCCCCGACACACACTCCGGAACACAGGACTCGGCCCAACCAAGCGCCCTGCCCGGGGCTCGGAGGGTGGGCCGCGAGCTCCGGGCCCGCCTAGTGGGAAAGCTTCGCTCCACAGAGACAGAAGGATCGGCCCGCGGGCACCTGCGGGGCTGGGCACGTCGCTCGAGTCCCGTCCCCCCCCCCCGGGCGCAGCCGGACGCGCCTCCCCACCTCGCTCGCAGTGCCTGCGGCGCCCGGAGCGCCAGGGAGTTCCCGGGAGTTCCCGGGACTCGCCAGCAGCCCTAGTCCCGCGCGCGCGCCGCAGTCCCGGGAAACTGCCGACTGCACACACCCACCCTTGGAATCCACAAGACTGCGCTCCCTCCCTTAGTGCGCCGCCGCCACTGCCGGGGAGAAGGGAGTTCGGCAAACAGGCTGCTGCCTTCGTTTTCCTTTCGGGAGCAGGGGGAAGGCTGGGAGGGAGGGTTCGAGCACCCCGACTGTAAAGTCCACGCGGAAGAACGGCGGACCTGCCGGTCGCGCTGGGCGAGAAGTTTGGGCGCCGAGGCCGGAGGCGCGCGCCCCAGTGCGCCCGCTCCGCGCGGCCCGCCGCTCCCGGAGCCCCGGGCGCGCGGCGGTTCGCCCACCTGGAAGTGCTGGAAGAAGGCGGAGATGCGCGTGATCTGCAGGCTGAGGCACCTGGCGGCGCAGCGGGCCCGCTGGACGCTGCCGGCCGACAGCGACTCATCCAGCCGCCGCGCTGCTGCCGCGCCGGGGCCGGCCGCCAGGCAGCCCCCGGCGGCCGCCAGCCAGAGGCAGAGGGTCAGGGCCGCGCCGGGTGCCCCGGGCACCATGGTCGCGGGTCGGGGGCGCGGGCGCCGGGCGCTGGCCGAGGCTCCCAGCTCCGCGCCGGGGCCGCACTGCCGGGGACCTCGCGGTCGGTCGCTGCAACTCGGCTGGAAAGTTCAATCATTCAACTCCAGCCCCCGCGCTCCCTGCCGACCTCCCTCCCCGCGCGGCCTCGAGGGGTGGGGTGAGGGTGACAGACGGCCGCGCCATTGGCTAGAGGGAAAGTGAGTGACAGGGGGGCCGGGCCCAGAGCCGTGGGCAGGTCTTAGAGGCGGCTAGCCAGGGCGCTCCCAGGGAGGGCGACGGCCACCGGGTCGCCACCGCGCGCGCCTCTCCGGTGGCCCGTCTCCCGCGCAGGCTCGCCCACCGCCCGCACCCGCTCCTTCCGGCCCCAGCATCCAGGAGCAATCCTGGGCCGGGGGTTCCAGGTGCGGCGTCGGGAGGGGGGGTCTCGGACCCCGGGGGCCTCGGCACTGGAGGCCTCCCTTCCCGGGTTGCTCCCCGGGTCCAAGCGGCGCGCGCACACACTTGGGCGCGTTTGGATTTCTCTTTCCCCAGGTAGCGGGGGAAGGGCTCGGTAACCGAACTGAAAACCACGTCAGAGGCGAACGGCCAGGCGTGAACATTGGACGTGTTCGCTCTCTCCTGGCTGCCATTTCGTCTTTCCTGGCTTCTTCCCTCCCTTCTGTTTCCTTCTTTTTCTCTCCTTTCTCCCCTCTGCCCCCCCCTCCACCACCGCTTCCCTCCTTCCTCCCTCCTTCCCGTCTCAGGGTGACCTGGGAAACGACCAGAGGACAACCCCCGCCACCTTTGTTCAAGAGCCCCGCGCCCCTGTGTTAACTCCGGCTGTTCCTTTTAATGGCAAGCACTGTGCTCCCGGTGTGAGCCCTTAAAAAAACCCAGAAATCTCTCCTGAACCCCCTCTGCCCCCTATACCTGCCCCCAGCCTCTGGGTTCACCTTTTGTTAGCGGTGACATTGCTGACCCATCGTCCGCTGCCATCTTCCCCAAAGCCTGGTCACCACACGTGCTCTCCCTCCCCAGACAGGGCCGCGCCAGGGAAAGGGGCACGCGCATCTAGGACGCACCCCCCTGTTCGCCAGTCTGTCCTTCCCTGGCTCCAGGGGCAGTCAGGGTGGAGACTCCCCCCCCCGCCCCGCACCAAGCGCAGGGGTGGGAACCCGGAAGCTGTGCATGGGGCTCGCGGAGGTTTACATGGCGCGCAGCGTCGGGGAGACCCCTGTGCGCAACCACTGACTCGCTGGGCGCGGTCTGGCACAGAGGGGCGCTTACATCCGGAACCCCGTGACCTCCGTGAGCACACGGCTGGCTGGGCACAGCCAGGGCGCCCGAGCTCTCAGCCTGCTCGGAGATAGGGCACCAAGCCTCACGCCTCTCGGCGTTGCCTGCCGCTGGTTAACAGCTGCCCACCCTTCCCCGCATTCTGCCGCACGCTTTCCACGGTGCGCTCCGGCGACCGTCCGGCTACATTGTAAGGGGAAGGTGTTATTCTATTACCCCGATGAGTCTTTTTCACGTACGTCACCGCTGTGTACGTCTTCACACGGACGCATCGGGGAGGCCAACAGAACTCATTGTCTGGTGTGTTCCTTAATGATTTGGACAGTCAAAGGTGTCGGGCTCACAAGGTTCTCTGGGCAGAGAGAGGGTGCCCTGAAGCACCACGGTCCAGAGCCCCGCCTCACAAGGATCCCCACTGGCCCAGGGTTCTCCCACCACCTCATCCCGGGGCTGAGCGAGGCGAGAATCCACCTCAGCCAGGAACTCAACAAACGCAGGCGGGGGCTCACCTGAGCTCAACCGTGCGTTTCAAACGGTGTGCAGGGCTGCAAAGGGGAACCTTTGAAACGCACATGAAGGGTACTTCACATGCACCAAGGACATACAGAAGCTGATCGTGGTGACCCCACACAGGAAGGTGTGTAAAACCATGTGCCACGCCCTGGCTGGCGTAGCTCAGTGGATGGAGTGCGGGCTGCGAACCAAAGCGTCGCAGGTTCGTTTCCCAGTCAGGGCACATGCCTGGGTTGCAGGCCATGACCCCCAGCAACCGCACATTAATGTTTCTCTCTCTCTTTCTCCCTCCCTTCCCTCTCTGAAAATAAATAAATAAAATCTAAAAAGCAAAAACAAAAAAACAAAAAAAACCCACGTGCCAATGAATGGGGCCGTGACGCCCAATGATGGAGACTGGCCTTCATGTCCCCACGTCTGTCTGGTCATTAACAAAGACATTTCCCAAAGCCCCAGGGGACCCTCCCGTGGTGCCTGTCTGAGTTTCCAAGTTCAGCAAACAGCTGTTCTCAGCGAAAGCCAGGGTCTGGCGCACGTCTGCCTTTCCCTTTACGGTACCTGCGTGCGTGTCCTGTCATGACATTTATATTCCGGAACGTGACATCGCGGGAGGACAAATAACGCTGAGCTTTTTCAAAGCAGCTTTTCAGCGTTCAAAGGGCTCCCTGTATTTCTTTGTTTTAAGCCAGGTGTGGGCTGCTTAGACGGGCTGCACGGCGTATTTATTTCCATGAAGAGACACATTTTATAATCACACTCTCTCACACACACACACACAAATCCAGAGTGCAGGTTGCACAGAAAGCCTGGGGCGAATTCACCACATAGGGCCTCTTTGTTACCCACGTGTTCCAACAGTGCCTGCGCTTGCGTTGCTTTCTTCTTTTGCCATGATCACAGCCACCCTCTGCGATTATCCTGGCCCTTTTCATGGGACTTATTTTAACGGCCGTCGAAACGTAGCTTTTTTTTTTTTTAATCCTGCTCAGATAGGCCCGATCTCTTAGGCGGCTTTCCCTGCGAGGCGGGACACGGGCACGCCGTGACTCCGGCGGGTCTGAGAGGCACGCCCTGAGCTCGCGAAGACCCGGCGCAGGAGAGGGGGGCCCCGGGTGTGTGTCGAAGGAGGCGCGGATAAATACGCACGCGATCGTCCGGGTGGCGCGTCAGTAAGGAAGAGCGTAGCGCGTTCCTCCGCGAAACGCCCTTGAACCCCGTGGTCTGAGCTTGTCTGGAGAGGACCTGAACGTGCTGTTGACTTCGGTTTGACGGGGGCAGACGACACCCGCAGGTCAGTCAGTGAGGGGGAGCAGGAGCGCTTGCTGTCTGCGTGCGTGAGCAAACCCAGGCCGGAGCGCATGGCGCGTCCTGCGGACCTTCCAGAGGACACCCACAAAACAACCCTCTCTCTCCCGTCCCTCAGAGTTAGCTGTGCTCTTCCGCGCAATTTACTTAGGTCGTCAGTCTCTTTTTCCTGTTCCCCCCTTTTTTTTTCCTGCGGAGAGTAAGAACCCCCTGGGAAGCATGCTGAAGCCATACTGTGGACCCCCACAACCTGAGATCTTGGGTCCACATGCCTGGGGCAGCCCTGGCCGGATGGCTCAGTTGATTGGAGCATCGTCTCACACACCAAAAAGGTTGTGGGTTCGATTCCCAGTCATACCCGGGTTGCAGATTTGATTCCCAGTCAGGGTGTGTACAGAAGTCAGCCAATAGACCTCTCTCTCTCTCTCTCTCTCTCTCTCTCTCTCTCTCTCTCTCTCCCTCCTCTACCCTAATTCCCCTCTTTTCACTCTCAAATAAATCAATAAACGTACCCTTGGGGGAGGATGAAACAAATACATACATCTGGGGTACAACTGGCGTCTGACTTTTTAAATGACACCAAGCAAGTGAACCAGGGACTGGCTCAAAAGACCACTGGTTTAGCAAACATGCACCTCATCGAAAATGGAGCAACAGGTTTGATTTCGGCACCATCCACGACCTCACTCTGTGGAAAGTCCTTTCTTAGGTGCGGGCGTTGGGAAGGGCCGGACATGCCCGCCTACTTCTGAGTGACCACACGGACATCTGTTTTCCAGTGCATTTCCCTGACACACTCTTAGACTCATTTTGGGGGGACTCATGGCTTGCCTTTTTAAAAGCTTCCAAAGCCGTGGCTGGCGTAGCTGAGTGGATTGAGTGCTGGGGGCTGCAAACCAAAGCAGTGCAGGTTCGATTCCCAGTCAGGGCACATGCCTGGGTTGCAGGCCACGACCCCCAGCAACCGCACATTGATATTGCTCTCTCTCTCTCTGTCTCTCCCTCTCTTCCCTCTCTAAAAATAAATAAATAAAAAAAGAGAGATTCGTTAAAAAAAAAAAAAAGCTTCCAACAACACTTGCCATGGAGGCAAGACGAAGAGAGCAAACATGAGCTTCCCTCTGGGGAAAGCAGAGGGAGAACTCCCTGTAACTGGACGGCCGACACTCTCACTGGGCGGCATTCGCGGGTCTTGAATGGAGTGTGGTCCCTGCGCACTGGTCACCGCCGCTCACAGGGCACGAGGACGTGAGGAGAGGGGGCTGATGTGTGAGGTCCAGTTTCCCCCCCACGGCCTTCACTGCATGAGGAAACCCCACGCACCTCCCCCCAGAAACTACAGATCCCTTCCAGAAAGGGACACATGAGGAAAGGGGGGGGGGCCACCCTGCCAGAGCCCCGCCCAGGCTCACCTCCGAGTCTGCAGGACCGCTCACCACGGCTCCCAGCTTTCCTCTCTAAGTGACGGAGCTTTCATCCGCCTCCCCACTCCACGCCCGCTGCTCAGCTCTGGGTCCCCTGGTCCGGGGACCACAGACACAGCTGTTAAGAGAGAAAAGGGAAGAAGGACGCGATTAGCTGAGCGGATGACTATCAGATCTGCATGTTTTTAAAAAGATTTTATTTATGTATTTTCAGAGAGAGGGGAAGAGAGGGAGAGAAACATCAATGGGTGGTTGCCTCTCGTGCGCCCCCTACTGGCGACCTGGCCTGCAACCCAGGCCTGTGCCCTGACTGGGAATCGTACCGGCCACCCTTTGGTTTGCAGCCTGCACTCAATCCACAGAGCCACACGAGCCGGGGCAGCTTTGCATCTTTTATAATATGATTTCAGGCGCAAATGGGGCAAACCTCTATGGCACTGTACTGACGCGATCTCTGGGGGCTCATTTAATCATTGTACGAACAA